GCTGCAGCTAGGTGTGAATGTTTCAACTGATCACCTTCATTAGCATTTGAAGGCCTGCCTGAGCCTGGGAAAATCTCTTGCTGGGAGGTGTTAATCTGTGCCTGGTTGTTTCCTCTCTGTTGTTTTGCTGTTGTAATTTTAGAGTTTTTTAATACTGGTAGCCAGATTTTGTTCATTTTCATGGTCTCTTCCTTTCTGTTGGAATTGTCCACATGCTTGTGGATTTCAATGGCTTCTCTGTGTAGTCTGACATGGTGGTTGTTGGTGTGGTCCAGCATTTCTGTGTTCTCAAATAATATGCTGTGTCCAGGCTGGTTCATCAGGTGCTCTGCTATGGCTGACTTCTCTGGTTGAAGTAGTCTGCAGTGCCTTTCATGTTCCTTGATTCGTGTTTGGGCGCTGCGTTTGGTGGTCCCTATGTAGACTTGTCCACAGCTGCATGTTATACGGTAGACTCCTGCAGAGGTGAGAGGATCCCTCTTGTCCTTTGCTGAACGTAGCATTTGTTGGATTTTCTTGGTGGGTCTGTAGATTTTGTATGTTGTGTTTCCTCATCAGCTTCCCTATGCGGTCAGTGGTTCCCTTGATGTATGGCAGGAACACTTTTCCTCTGGGTGGAATCAATCAGCATCAATCAGGACAAGAGGGAACCTAGTGATTCCAGCCATGAAAGCCTTCGACAATACAACAACAACAATAATAATAACTTTATTTATATATTATTTGTATATCCCATTACCATCTCCCCAAAGGACTCGGTGTGGCTTACATTAGGCCAAGCCCACAGTACATCTATAACAAAAGCAATACCAAAAAGAGTCAATACAATACAATTAATATAAATCACATAAGCAATAAACAGTGATACACAAGCATTTAAAAACCTATGGCTGGGCCAAATGTAGTAGTTTAAAACTTAAAAAAATAACACTGGGCATGAACAAGGTAGGATATAACTGGTATAGGGCTTTCAAGGAGAGATGAGGGAATGCGGTCAGTCCTAAATCAGTGATAAAGTGCATTTTAAGGGTATATTGCTGAGAGTTTTCCTTATTCTGGGAAGGCACACTGGAACAACCACGTTTTCAGGCTCCTCCTAAAGACTGCCAGAGTTGGGGCATGTCTGATGTCCTTGGGAAGTGAGTTCCAGAGTCAGGGGGCCACCACTGAGAAGGCCCTCTCCCTCGTCCCCACCAAACGCGCCTACAAAGGAGATGGGAGCGTGAGAAAGGCCTCTCCAGATGATCAAAGAGATCGTGTGGGTTTGTACAGAGAAATGCAGTCATGCTGGTAGACGAGTCCCAAACCGTTCAGTGCTTTGTAGGTAAGAACCTGCACCTTGAATTGGGACTGGAAAATGAACGGCAGCCAGTGGAGCTCCTTAAACAGGAGGGTTGACCGCTCTCTGTAAGTCACACCAGTTAGTAACCTGGCTGCTGCCCGTTGTACCAATTGAAATTTCCAGGCCGTTTTCAAGGGCAGCCCCACGTATTCCGAAGTGATATATATCAACTCATCATACAATTTAAAATTCCAATTTTGCTTGTTGTTTTTTAAAGGAAGCTTTAAAATAGTGTGCAGATAGGGGAAAGGTTCCAAAATGTGGGCATAGCTGTGTAATACTGTTGTATCCAAAAACTGTCATAATGCATGAAGCTGCCGTTATGTGGAAAGATTAATATTATTTACACTGTAATTTCATTGCTCCTTGACATTTTAAACCTTGCTCTGAATTATCCATTATATGTATGTGTGTGTGTGTGTGTATGTGTGTGTGTGTGTGTGTGTGTGTGTGTATATATGGTATTCAATCAGCCTTGGTAATTCTCTTCCCCTCTTGTGGGTTAAGAAAGACCAGGGTCTTTTTGGGGTGCTCTGATGACGGACACAAAGGACAAGATGATCCCCCCCCCCCAACCTGTTCACAGGCAGAAACAAAGCTGGCAATGGGAGAGTACACTCTATGACTTCTCAGTTGTGTTCAAGTGATGCAGAACTGAAATTTATTTATTTATTTCGTATCAAAAGCATTGTATAAATTAGTATAAAACAGCAATGGCATTGTCTGTAGCCTCCAACAACTCTTCCTCTGTACATGAGGCAGGGCATAGTGGACAAGCATATAGATGCGGAGTTGTCTGTTCTGCTCCACAGTCACATAAGGTGTGGGATTCTTTTAGGTAGTGCCATTTTGCCAGGTTGTCTTTTGATCTGCCCACTCCACTTCTGAGTCTATTGAAACTGAACATGTGACAGAAGCGGCATAGTTTTCCCGAATGCAAGTAAATGGCAGAGAGGGGAAGTGCTTACAGTGGTACTTTGGCATGTGTATGACCAAAGGCCCCATCTACACTGCCATATAAAATCCAGATTATCTGATTTGAACCGGATTATATTAGTCTACATTGCCATATATTCCAGTTCAAAGCAGATAATCTGGATTTTATACAGCAGTGGGGAAGGGCCCAAGTTTTAGACTGAGTGTTAAAGGAGCTATCCAAGGTGCTGAACCTATTTCTGACATAGAAAATATTACTTCCAATGGCTCATTTGAAGTTGGATTAAAAACTGGTGCAGACTCATCAGTTTAGTTGTTTAGATGGGGCCTAAATTGGCAGATTGTTGGAGATAGAATACTGCTGGTGCTTTCTTAATGCCTCTGTTTGGAAGTTTACCCAGAGTAGCAACATTTTGGGGGAAGCAATCACATGAGTAAATTTGGTTTTGGAAAGTTCCATGATATTAATTGACAATGACATGCATTATTTACTTGTTTCTTGAAAATTAACAATGGCCAACTGTAGTGGATTTTCCTCAACTTTTTGATTGCTAAAACATTAATATTTCATTATCGGAGATATTTTTTTCTCCATCTGTGATTCAATGAATAGACAATCTAACAGTGCTTGCAACATTTGAAAGAATTTTGTATAGGTGACATTTACAAAAGGACTTATATTTGGACAACTTTTGTAGGAACCTATGACTAAGGTTGTTTAACCTCCTTTTGCGTTTTGATTTACATGCTTTTGTTATATTGGAACACTGTTGTATGTAGCGGAGATCCTTTCTGAATGTAAATCATCAGTTGCCAGCTGAAATCGTGGAGAGCCCTACCAGTCAAAATATGGAATGCTATACTAAATGGATTAGAGATCTGTTTTGCTAAAGGTTAGTTCCGCATGTTTGTGGAAAAGTTTCACCACAACTTCAGCAATTAGATGAAAATTTTGTGTCCTCATGTTGAGGTGCTTATTAAGATCATGTGTTGCTGGTGCTCTAGTTTGAGCTCATTTCAAGGTGGTATTGACCATTTGCTAAGCCCAAACAGGCTTGGACTTAGCAGATCTTGGAGGATAACCTCCGCCCTTGCACTCTGTATACCATCAGGAATGCAAGAAAACCCGAGAGCCTTTTTGAATTGCCGCTTCCCCCTCTACTCTGTTTAGAAAGCAATATACAGCTTTCTAATTCAAGTTAACTGTTTGTGGCCAAATGGACAGTGGAACAATGGTGTTTAGTTTATATAAATAGAAGATTTCTGATTAATATTCTTACCATATACAAGGCATTCAAATGGAGCAAACTGTAAATAAAAATTTAAAACATTGCTTTCCCCCACTAATATATTTGTATCTCATCCATCAACAAAAAGATAAAACGTATTTTACCTAAAAATGATCTAAAGCAAAAAAATAATTAAAATAGTTATATTGATTAAAATAATTTTTAAAATTCATTTAAAAATTCTATTTATTAATTTACATTATTTATATTCCGTCCTTCTCACCCCGAAGGGGACTCAGAGTGGATTACAGAACACATATACGGCAAACATTCAATGCCGTTATTCACTGACAAGACAGACAACTGTACATAAATAGAGGTATATAGGGCTTTCCCATCTTCGACATCTTGGAGGCTGTGCTCAATTCCCGTCACGAGGGGGGAGGGGGTGTTGTCGCTCCAATTTCCCTGCCAAAGAGCTTTGTTTGTAAACTTCCTCCTTGATCAAATTGCTGGCATTTTTCTAGCATTTCCTTATGGGTGCTCTAAATACCTCCCCACTTAAGCGGTACCTATTTATCTACTCACATTGCTGTTTTCAAAACTACTGGGTAGGCAGAAGCTGGGCTAAAGGCCAGGAGTTCACCCTGATCCAGGCTGCGAATTGTGAACTTTTCAGTTGGCAATATTTACTGCAGCTGGCGGTTAGCTGTTGTGACTCAGCTGGAACCACAGAGTGTCTCTGATGAGGATGATGGGACTCAGGTTCACAGCCTGGTTCAAAATGTCCCTGTTATAGACAGTGAAGAAGTACAGTTTCCCACGGAAAGGAATGAAAGTGTTGATACTGAAGGTGCAGTTTGACTCAGAGAAGGAGGACAGTTCTCAGCCTGATAATGATAATGAGCAAGCAGGGAAACAGGCTGACACTAACGAACAGACTGACCTTGATGAAATGGAAACCTTAGATCGGGCTGACCGTTTGGAATTCAGAGTTCGAAGGAGTGTGAGAATAGCTAACAGGAAGGAGGCCAGAGAAACGCCTTTATGTTTGGCAAAGGGTATTAAGCAGTGTGTTTGAGACCAAATCTTTGTCAAAGCAACTTTTCGTTTTACCAAGAAACTTGCCTTTGCTTGTATGGATTATTTTGCAGTCCTTGTGTTCATGTTTTCAGGACTTTGTCATGTTCTCTTGGGTTTTTGTTTTGCTGGTGCCTTTTTGAATTAATCTTCAAAGTGCTTGTTTATGTTGATCTTTTGAAACATTACCTTTGCTTTTAAAAACTTTTTACCTTTTATTTTTATTAAACTATAAACACTTCTGACTGTGTGCAGTTTGGTGTTTTTTCAGCAAGGTGAATCTACTCTGAGGTGCGACATTAGCCTGCTGAGCTAAAGACCGGCTCATTGCTAAAGCGTTGCCCCAATTCCCTCCCTTCACATAAAATTGTGCAAGCTATAAAATTAATTATCTTTTTTTGCCTCTTCCTTAGATTGATAAATATCTGTACTCCATGCGACTCTCCGATGAAACTCTTCTGGATATTATGGGACGCTTCAGGAGAGAGATGAAGAATGGGTTATCCAGGGATTTTAATCCAACAGCCACTGTCAAGATGCTCCCTACATTCGTAAGGTCTATTCCCGATGGCTCAGGTAAGGAGTGTGACTCTGATATATTATTTCTATTGCTTCTATTTGGAAATGTACATGGTGTCTTAAAAAAAAACACATGTTATTGCTCCCCATACAGCGTGATCTGTTGAATACCGAAGTGTTCATAAAGATGTTTAGGTATAAATGCAGTCATAAGGAACTAGCTGTAGTACAGGGTTAGTCAAAATGAATAGGCCAATAAGAAAATTAATTTTAGACAAATGTATGTTTACTGTAACCAAACCACAGCTACGTAGCGACAGATAAACTATCAAAGTTTTGTCTCACCTTCAGAGATGTTCGATATGGGCGCCCCGTGTGACACGGCAGATGTCCAAGCGATAGTCCAGTTCATTCCACATCCGTTGCAGCACATCCGACGTAATGGCATCGAATGCAGCAACGTCTGGGAAGGTGTTCGTTGAGGTCCTAACCCTAACCCTAACCCTAACCCTATCCCTAACCCTAACCCTTGAAATTCTCGCTGGACCGTAATTATTGACATTGTTTTAGCAAATGTCATCACAAAAAACGCCTTCTCTTTGCTTGATTCCGCCATTTTGAAAACAGCGACCCCTAGCGACGCCTAGCGGCATTAACGTACATGTGTGTTGCTCAAAAAAAACTTTGATAGTTTATCTGTCGCTACATAGCTGTGGTTTGGTTACAGTAAACATACATTCGTCTAAAATTAATTTTCTTATTGGCCTATTCATTTTGACTAACCCTGTATTCAGATTTTAACGTATATGTTTATTTTAAGGAGAAAAACACACACACCAAACCAAAGCTCACAATTCAGTTCCCACTGAAACAAATCACAAGAGATTGTTTGGTTTTTGTTGTCTTAGAGAAGGTACGTATTTGTAAAAAATGAGGGGAAGCAAAAGTATTTTTAACTGGGTTGCTATGAGTTTTCCAGGCTGTATGGCCATGTTCCAGAAGCATTCTCTCCAGACGTTTCGTCACATCTTTAGCAGGCATCGTCAGAAGATCTCACAACCTCTGAGGATGCCTAACATAGATGTGGGTGAAATATCAGGCCGTGTTTCTGGAACATGGCCATACAGCTTGGAAAATTCACAGCAACCCAGTGATTCCAGCCATGAAAGCCTTTGACAATACATGTTTTTAAATTATTTATTTATTTATTTATTTACTTTGCTTATATACCGCTGTTCTCAGCCCGGGGGCGACTCACAGCGGTGTACAACATAGAAAGAACAAGGTTCAAAATTCAAGACACAATATAAAATGATCCACAATCCAGCATTAACAAAAACATCATCATCAATGTTTTTATTAATTACAAAAAATCATAAGAAAAAGATAACAAGGGCAAGTGTTAGCAATATTTTCTTTTATTAAAAAAACTGAGAATATATTTTATGCTAGGTAAAATGGTGCCTTATTGTCACTGCCAAAACACAAGTATGTGCTTTCCATCTACACAACCGTGAAGCCAACAGGAAATTGAAAGTCACCTGGGAAGGTCAAGAACTTGAACATTGTTTCCATCCTAAATATCTCGGTGTCACCTTAGATCAAAGACTAGCATATAGGAAACACTGCTTGAACACCAAGCACAAAGTAGCTGCACGCAATAACATCCTGTGAAAACTTATTGGCAGCACATGGGGTGCAGACCCAAAATTAGTAAGAACATCAGCCCTGGCCTTGTCTTACTCGACTTCCGAGTATGCCGGTCCTGTTTGGCATAGGTCTGCCCATGCAAAGCAGGTGAACATAGCATTGAATGAAACATCAACATCTTACTAGTTGTAATCTAATATGCTAACTCCTCAACTGTAAGGGAGGAGAACTCATTGATTATTGGTGTCAAATAGTGACACAACTGGTACAACGGGTGGCGGCCAGGTTGTTAACTGGTGCTCCTTACAGGGAGAGGTCAACCCTCCTGTTTAAGGAGCTCCATTGGCTGCCGTTCATTTTCCGGTCCCAATTCAAGGTGCAGGTGCTTACCTACAAAGCCATAAACGGTTTGGGACCCGCCTACCTGCGTGACCGCATCTCCGTATATGAACCCACACGATCTCTCCGATCATCTGGAGAGGCCCTGCTCACGATCCCACCTGCGTCGCAAGCGCGATTGGTGGGGACGAGGGACAGGGCCTTCTCCGTGGTGGCCCCCTGACTCTGGAACTCTCTCCCCAAGGACATCAGACAAGCCCCAACATTGGCAGTCTTTAGGAAGAGCTTGAAGACGTGGTTGTTCCAGTGTGCCTTCCCAGAATAGGAAACTCCCAGCATCATGTCCCAAATGCACTTTACTAGAGATTTAAGATTGTCTGCACACCGCACCTATCTCCAAAAACGTATCCATTTCACCTGTCATGTCCAGCATTTTTAAATTTTAATCATTACATTTGGCCCAGCCTTAGTTTTAAATGTGTCATGGTGTTATTGTCTAATGTTTATTGCTATTGTTTTAATGTTTATTGCTTGTTTTATGAATTTATTTATTGTTGTATTTATTATGCTGTTGTTTTATTGATGTGTTTTATTGATGTCTTCCTAAAGACTGCCAACGTTGGGGCTTGTCTGATGTCCTTGGGAAGGGTGTTCCAGAGTTGGGGGGCCACCACAGAGAAGGCGCTGTCTCTCGTCCCCACCAAGCACGCTTATGACGCAGGTGGGATCGCGAGCAGGGCCTCTCCAGATGAACGGAGGGAACGTGTGGGTTCATATATGGTGATGCGGTCACGCAGGTAGGCAGGTCCAAAACCGTTTAGGGCTTTGTAGGTAAGCACCTGCACCTTGAATTGGGACCGGAAAATGAACGGCAGCCAATGGAACTCCTTAAACAGGAGGGTTGACGTCTCTCTGTGAGGAGCACCAGTCAACAACCTGGCTGCCCCCCGATGAACCAGCTGAAATTTCCGATCCGTTTTCAAGGGCAGCCCCACGTAGAGCACATTACAATAGTCCAATCTAGAGGTGACCAAGGCATGGACCACCCCGGCCAGATAAGCCTTCCCGAGGTACGGTCACAGTTGGCGCTTGAGTCTCAATTGTGCAAATGTCCTCCCAGACACCACTGATGCCTGAGCCTCAAGCGTAAGTGATGACTCCAAGAGGACACCCAAACTGCGGACCTATGACTTCAGGGGGAGTGTAACCCCGTCCAACACAAGTTGCCACCCTATACCCCGATCCAGTTTACGATCGACCAGGAGGACCTCTGTCTTGTCGGGATTGATCTTCAGCTTGTTCATCCTCATCCAGACAGCCACAGCGGCCAGGCACTCGTCCAGCACCCGAGGGGCTTCCTTGGAATTAGGTGGAAAGGAAAACCTTTACCTTTACCTTTACCTAATAGGAGGCAAATGAAAGAAAAAGTACACAACTGAAGACAGATCATGATAATAATATAATAGCAATAATAATAATGACAATGTCAATAATAATGTGTTTATTTTTACCCTGCCTCTCCTCATGGCTCGTGGTGAGGCACAACACAGTTAAAATACATCATCATATCAAATCTTGGTTTGTTTTTACATTTGAATGCACTTCAAGTGTTTTCCTTACTTAGCTGTAGTTTCAGTTTGCAGACGGTGTATTAATTCACTGTATATTACCAGTGTGCACATTTCTGAAGTGCACTATTTGTTTGCAGTGCATTTGAAGGCTCATTTGATTCCAAAGGAGCTAGAAAGGCCACCTGTTCTTATGTTTTTTCCCCTTCCTTTTAAAAGATAATGACTCAGTTTTGACAAGTGATGGGCTCTAATAATGCTATCTATATGTAAACTGGTCTTAATGTGAGATACTTTACTGAACAATGACATTTTAATTGGTTTTATCTGCAGAGCGTTGTAAAAGTTACGCTTCGGATTGAAATATTGTCACTTAAATAATTTAGTGTCCCAGATCATCATACGCCATGATCAGAGAGATGACCGCTCTCTGTAATTCGCTTCAGTTAATAGTCTGGCCGTTGGACTAGTTGGAGTTTCCGGGCTGTCTTCAAGGGCAGCCCCACGTAGAGAGCATTGCAATAGTCCAATCTAGAGATAACTAAGGCGTGGACCACCGTAGCCAAATCCGACTTCATGAGGTACGGTCGCAGCTGGCGCACGAGCTTCAATTGTGTGAATGCCCTCCCAGCCAATGTTTCAAGCATTAGCACTGAATCTAAGGAACACCTAAGCTGCGGACCTGCGATTTCAGGGGGAGTGCAACCCTGTCAAGCACAGGTTGCTATCCTATACCTCGATCCGGCCTACAATTGACCTGGAGGACCTCTGTCTTGTCAGGATTGATCCTCAGCTTATTCGTCCTCATCCAGACCGTCACAGCGGTCCACCCATTATAACTCATAACTGAAAATATTGGAGCCCCCGGTGGCGCAGTGGGTTAAACCCTGTGCCGGCAGGACTGAAGACTGACAGGTCACAGGTTCGAATCCGGGGAGAGGCGGATGAGCTCCCTCTATCAGCTCCAGCTCCTCATGCGGGGACATGAGAGAAGCCTCCCACAAGGATGATAAAAACATCAAATCATCCAGGCGTCCCCTGGGCAACATCCTTGCAGACAGTCAATTCTCTCACACCAGAAACGACTTGCAGTTTCTCAAGTCGCTCCTGACACGACCAAAACAAAAACAAAAAAAACCCTGAAAATATTGAACTTTTCTAAAATGTGTGAACATCCTTTATGTAGAATTCTAAAATCTGAAATGCCATACACGTGTTTTTCAGTGTTTACCTATGTCTGTGTATATAGACCACTTTTATCCTTCCAAAGACTGTGTTAATGGGTAATCTCGGTCTCCAAACATCCTTGTTTACCTGATTAGATAAGATGAGTCAAATGCCATCCCTTGGGTTGACCTAAGTAAATATATTTACTGTGTCAAAAGGTGAATGCTGATAGGACAACTTTCTCTTTATGCTTAATTTGTGAATGATGGAGATTCACGCTGGATTGATGTGCCAATTTGCTTCTTTCTAAACAGAGAAAGGAGATTTCATTGCCCTGGATCTGGGTGGATCTTTTTTTCGTATTTTGCGAGTGAAAGTCTCTCATGAGAAAAAGCAGACTGTACAAATGGAAACTGAGATTTATAACACTCCAGAAGATATTATGCATGGCAGTGGAACACGGGTAAGAACCTCCTTGTGAAAATTTTGCACTATGGCTGGTTTTATTTGTTTATGTTTTGAAAGTTTCATATACTGTTCATTTAGGTCAGTGGTTCTCAACTTTCCTAATGCCGCGACCCCTTAGTACAGGTCCTCATGTTGTGGTGACCCTCAACCATAACATTATTTTCGTTTGTACTTCATAACTGTAATTTTACTACTGTTGTGAATTGTAATGTAAATATCTAATATGCAGGGTGTATTTTCAGTCCCTGGACCAAATTTGGCACAAATACCCGATACGCCCAAAATCTGAATACTGGTGGGGTTGGGGGTGATTGATTTTGTCATTTGGTAATGTTGGAGTTGCTGGGATTTATCGTTCACCTTAAATCAAAGGGCCTTCTCAACTCCATCAATGATGGAACTGAATCAAACATGGCACACAGAATTCCCATGATCAAGAGAAAATACTGGGAAGGTCTGGTGTTTTTGGAGTTGTAGTTCACCTACATCCAGAGAATACTGTGGACTCAAGCAATGAGTCCAAGTGCTTGAGTTCAAGTGTTTGGGAATCTGACTTGGCCACGGTAGTCCACGCTCTTGTTACATCCCGCCTAGACTACTGCAACGCTCTCTACGTGGGGTTGCCTTTGAAGACGGCTCGGAAGCTCCAGCTAGTCCAATGCTCGGCAGCCATGATACTAACAGGAGCGGAGCGCAGGGAGCACACAACTCCTCTGCTGCACCAGCTCCACTGGCTGCCGATCTGCTACCGGGCTCAATTCAAAGTGCTGGCGTTGGCCTTTAAAGCCCTAAACGGTTCGGGCCCAAGCTACCTATCCGAACGTATCTCTGCCTATGAACCCACCAGGACTCTAAGATCTTCTGGGGAGGCCCTGCTCTCGATCCCGCCTGCATCACAAGCACGGCTGGCGGGGACGAGGGACAGGGCCTTCTCTGTGGTGGCCCCTCGGCTGTGGAACGCCCTTCCCATGGACATAAGATCAGCTCCGACGTTAATGGTGTTTCGAAAAAAGCTAAAAACCTGGCTGTTTGAACAAGCATTCAGATAAACAGTGCAATGAATATGATGAATATAGGAACGGAATTATAGATGACGAATTGGATCACGATTCTAGTTATGAGACGTTGTTGTGTTGTTATTGATGTGCCATACTGTATATTGTGCTTTCATGGTTTTTAAATCGTTTATTGCTATTTTGTTATGACTGTTTTTGCTATGTTGTGAACCGCGTTGAGTCGCCTACGGGCTGAGAAACTGCGGTATACAAGCAAAGTAAATAAATAAATAAATAAATAAAT